CATTCCTGCATCTCCCAGTGCCACTCCAACTGACAAAACATCAAGTGCCACATCCTTCTTCATTCTGTCACCGCACATCTTTTGATTAGTAGACACAGCTTGACACCTGAGTGCATAAAGGATTTCTGCTTTCTCCATAAATTACACATCAGGGGTGGAGGCACCAGTTTTGTGTGTCACCTAATCATAGCACCCCAGGCTTTCAGCTAAGGAAGAAATCATGTTTGAAATGGAGTTGCTGTGCTTTTCATTAGGAAAAAAAGTGTCAGAGACAGGCCTGCATTCTGTGGAGACCTAGCGGTGGTTATCAAAAAATTCATTATTGCATTTTTAATCTTAAATCACTTGACACTCAGCAGGAGCTAACATGTTTTCATTATAAAATGTTTTCATTATGTAATTCTACCAGGAGTTGGTTAGGTGACATAAATCTCTTCAATTTTCACTTTGTACCACATTTTCATAACGTTATCATGAAAACAGGAAAAAAGTTTTAAAAGCTTGACAACTGATGATAACTATAGGAGCTGAAGCTCTTCTACAGACTGACAACTTCAGCCTCATTGCTCTGGGAAGAAACTGAGTTCTGCAACACGCACACACTCACACACACACATACACACTCACACACTCACACACACACACACACACACACACACACACACACACACACACACACACAGTATTAACGTCAAGGACTGTATATATTATCAAAATCCGAATCAGCTTCACTGGCCAGATGTGTTGGACACACCAGAAATTTGACCTTGGTACAATGGCTCTCAATGTGTATGTACAATGTTCTTCTGTAAGGCAACAAGTAGACAGGTAAACAAGAAGGAACTGCAAACAAGCAAAAGGAATGTGCATTAGGAAAATAAAATAAAGTACTTATAAATATAGAAACATAATCTCAAATCGGCATTTAAGTGATGTGTGTGTCCATGGTATACAAAACCAGATTTGAGGTGACGCCAGATCTAATTAGAAATGAAACCCATGAGATAAAATAGCAAGAAAGGAATGTGGGATTTACTCCTCTAATTTCTCCCTGAGGTCAGGTTGTTGAGAGGTTTTCTCCTCTGTGATATTTTACTTGTGACAATGACAATCTCACTGGGTTTTGCTTTGACAATATAATGCAAACGCCTTGCGGAACTCTTTTTTTTGAGAATTTAGTATTTTAAAGGGGCTTTAACAATTTGCTGTAAGAAAAACAAGACATTGATCTACTTAATGTGAGTTTTAAGGCAAATGGCGACAACTCAGAAAACCAAACAAATTTATCAACCAATTGCAGTTCCCCTCAGCTCTGTAAAGAATTGTAAACTTGAATTCTTTTGGTTCAGTTTTTGATTTGATGGCCAACAACTTTAGTGTTTTGATCCACTTTGCTCCTATGACTTTTCTAGATACAGAGAGCAGCAGCTTTCAGCAAAAAATCTGAAGATTTATTTCACAACTGCTGTATCAGACCACTGACTATATATGACCACAAATCAGAAAAGGTTGGGCTGTATGTAAAATCAAAATTAAAACTGAAAATAGTAATGTGTAAATCATCTGTGTTCTGTATTACAATGAAAACAACACAGCAGCACATTATTTGATGCAATAACTCATCAATTTTATTCTTTGTTCAAAATGAACAGTGTAAACATAAATTAATATTAACATATATTTATTAGCATCAGTCTTGTTGCTGAGGGCCCAGCGGGCAGCCCTATTAGCTTTAGCCACACACTGGGCTCCTGGATCGAGCTTCATCGTCACAGCTTCACTAGATGCAATTTTCCTCTGAGAAAACAGCCTTTTCTGTCGGAGCCCTGACTACGGCTTGCTAGTCTTGACAGAACAGCTTGTGCGTGGCTGTGTTTGAAGCTTTGTAGATGTGTTTTTTTGTGTATGTTGTCACCTTTCCTAATGAGAATAGATGAAAAGCAAGCTATCATCAGCCCTTAGCGGCAAAGACTTAAAATGCTCACAAGATCTTAGGCTTGATATTTTGTGTTGTTTTTAATTCTGCAGTATGAAAAGAAGTCAAAGTTACATATGTGCCACACCGCTAACAAAGCTGACCTCTTCTAATGCATCTGAGTTTTCATTAGATAAGAAGATGAGGTGCAATCAGGCAGGAGAGATTTTTTTTTTTTTTGCTTGTTAACTCATTTTGCTACATTGCTTTCTTTGATTACAGCAGAACTATTCCTTGCAACGTCACCCGAACTGTTCTTCATTGCATTCAATCACTTGTTGAAAGTTGCTTAAATGCCTTGTGATTAATTCAAATCATTATGAGTGTGCTTTATGTACATGATTTGATTGAAACATGCATTGCATTTGCATAATTACTGTGCTGTAGAGTAGGGCTTATTGTTGCTATCCAATCTAAACCACTCAGACTTGGAGCTTTGTGTATTCAAGGGGGGCTATAATGTGAAATCACACAAATGTATTGTGTACAGTATTCTCAATTATACACAATTACAGACTGGCCTTTCAGAGACACAAAAGCCTATTCTAGGCAAACTCTGTTCAGCATAAATGGTTTGTGGTTGTTTTATAGAGCTAAATGGGAGAATAATGATTAGAATAAATTAATTATTAGAATAAAGTGAATGATGAAGGACAATAAATGAATTGGGGGGGAGTTGCTACAAGTAAACTTATAAGTTTGGTGGAGACTGTGATTTACTATTCTTAGATTGTGAAGTCTTTTAGGCACCTAGTATGTATGATAAACGGCAAACAGCAACCGCCCGTTTCTATTTGTCTCCATACAGTATGAAGACCATTTAGCAGGCCTCTGAAATGTGCTCCACAGCATTGTATACTGTATGTGTTCTTGGCTAAAATTGCTGCTTAGAGAGAAATTTGTATGTGACACTCATTGCTTTTGTGATTTGTGCAGATTAAGGCATAAAAAATAAAAAAAAGTTTTCATGCTTACCTCCTCATATGTTTTCAGTCATTTTGGGTCTTTGTCTGCCCCCTGCCTGCATGCATATCTTGCTGACGGCATCACTCAGAAACTCATCTCTTGATTCGTAACAATGACCAACTGCTGCCAGATACCTGTACATGTTGGAGACCACCACAACCATAAACACATTTACATTCTCTCAAAACATAGTGCAACGCTGCCCACAACTACTTCCATACAATGATAATTTAACTTTGATAAACATTTATGCCACTCGGTGTTTCCTGAGATGAGCTGAGGCAATTCAAGGTTGGTGATTTTTATACTGCATCAAAAACCAATGGCTGCCTGGAACAGAAAAATACACTACAACTGTATAGCTGTCAATCTGACATAAATACCCAAATACTTAAAGAAATCAAGTCTGCACTGGCACCTTTACCAGCCACTTATCGGTTTTCGAATCACATGAGTGACAACCTACAGATTCACCATGTGCCGATAACATGTTTTTCAAGACCTTATCTTGTTTCAGTGCCATCAAAGCGGTGTGTGGTTCTATATGAGCTGCAGCGCAGGTGAGTCCCAGGTTACTCACGGTGTCCCAGTTAGCCTGCCAAATGCTTTCCCATCCTGAACACTGGAGGGGAGGCTTGCATGGGTATATAAGAATGTCCAATACATCATCGGCACTAGTGTGGCATGATCCGTCACCAGTGTGCTAATCAGTGAAATTTCTTCGAAAGCACTAGGAGACGTAACAGGTGGAATATGGTAAATACTGTAAGAGATTTCTCAGTAGTAGCTCAGACAGTTGTTTGAATGATGGTTCTTTCTAAACTACCAAATGTTTCTATTTCTCTTTTTTTAGCTTTGAGTAAAGAAACCAAGATCAGGGCTAAACACAAGCAATGTTGCCCAAAGGTGGAAATGCAAACGTTTATCTAGCCGCAACCCATCAAAAACAACCTTTTAATCATCCAGATCAGCTACAGAAGAGGATATCACTACAGCTTATCTTTAATTTAAGACAGGATATCAGATGGCGCTGATACAGAGGCTTTTCTCATCATATACAGTGTGTCCACGTCTCCTCTCCTATCCAAAATATATCCTGAGTTGAGGTCAGAGATAACTCAAACTCTCCAGAGACACACAAAGATTGAAGATGAGATGGGAGAATTTTTTATTTTCAGTTACACACACACACACACACACACACACACACACACACACACACACACGCACGCACACACACACACACACACACACATACAGCCAGTGCCACTTCTTTTTAATTCAAACCAGACCTTCCTGAATTTAATGTCCATATACTTTGTAATTTGACTGATACTGCTCCTCATTGTAAATCGTTTCGTTCTGTCTATATTCCTCTCTCTATTATCGTCTGTTCTTGCTTATAATGTCCCCTCTCTCATTTGTTTCTTTGTCTTTCTTTTTGCAAAGCAAATGACATCTTCAGCCTTCATAGACAGATTCCACCATTATTTTGAAAACGCCCAAAATCATGTGTGAGCACAAACAGCTTATTCTCCTCCTCCTCTTCCTCTCTCTCTCTTTCGGTTCTTTCTCATCTGTGCTCTCTCCAACTTCCTCTCCAGTGCTGTTGAATAATGGAGACTGCATGCAGCAGTCATGCTGTCACACAGCCAGGGAAAAGCAGGGGGCCTGTGGTGAATACACATGTGCGTGTGTCTGCTTGCCCGCCTGACACATGCATATATACAGTACATACACTCACATACATGCAATCAGATGAAGCAATACTGCCTCTTCATTATCTGTTATATTTTCCCTTTATTTTGAAAATGTTAGAATTTGCTACAGAGATGCTCTTCACAAACCTAATTTAATAATAATGTAACTGTTGCATATGGCAGCACTACATAATATATAAATGACTCCCTATAGCATGAATATAAAGATAGCATATCAAGGTCAAAAAGAAGATGAAAAGGAACCACAGGCAACTAACAGGATGATGAAATCCATGGTACTGCAGGGGAGACATGCAATTATTTTGCATCTGATAGTCTGCCATCCTTATGGCAAGACTAGGGGGGCCTGCTGCTAACAACATCTGGTAGGTGGACTTGAGACATCCAATCTCTGTCTTTAAAGTGACAGAAATACATACTGCAATAACCAGTACAGGCCTCTCCACATGGTCCCCCTGTTTAGTTGGCCAGATTGATAATCTCTAGACATCACTTTTAACTTGGAGAAAGCAACCAGGTGAGTGCAACATCTGGGGTTTCCTACCAACTGAGCCAATAAAAGAGACTGTGCGTACAGAAGGGAATGACATAAAAACGGAAGACTACAAAATAGTATTGAGCCAACAGGGGCTCATGTAAATAGAGAAGAAAACTGATCTCCCTCTGCCTCTCCCTTGCCCTGTTCTTCCTTTCACTATCCCTCTGTTTTCCAGACCAGTGCCTGTCAGAGCTGGGAAGGGGCTTGTGCTTGCTTTTAGCCCAATTAGCCAGGGCTTAAAGTGCAAAGCATGTTGAGCGGGGTAGGTCCAAGCTTGGTTTAGTCTAGTTCAGCATGGCTTGACTCGGGCTTGGCTCGAGTTCCTGCTGTGAGCTGCTATGCAATTATAATTAAGGCTGTCTTGGACACGCACACATACAAAGAGGAATTATTATCCCTCAAAAATTTCTACATCGCACATTTTGTCTCCCTCTCTTGCCATCTTTTCTAAGCACACATAGCTGTGTTTCCATCACTTCAGGGGACTTTACATTGACTAACATTCATTTCCTGGAAACTTACCCTACCCTAACCTTAATCATAACTACTACTTCCTTAACCCCAACCTTAAGCTACGTCATCAGTCTAAAATTTAATTATTTACATTGTGTGGACTTGCTTTTGGTCCCCATACTGTGTAAACAGATTCATGTCCCTGCAACACGATTAATAATAGGTGTGCACACACACTCTCACCCCCACAGCACGCAGTTTGGGCTCAGTGACCTGGCATAGCTTCACAAAGACACAAAAAGTCCTAGAGGGAAAGGGGAACAATACCATTTCATCCCACTCTTTAATAGCCCCATCCTTTCTGCTCACCT